CTTACCCCTTCGTAATTCGTTTGCAACGCAGGCAGTACTTCTTTTACAGTACGCTCTACCAATACACCACCTACAAGACGAAAACATTTTCGATCTCCATTTAAAGGAGATATTGTATCAATTACCGCTCTTTTACCAAACGAGTTGTAAATATGGAGCAGAGTTATTGTTCAATCAAATCGGGTCGATATATAATAAACAAGAAAATATGTTTAGTATAATCTCGACATTTAACAATTAACAAAGTCAATTTTAAGTATTATTAAGAAGATTATAATCAAAATGAAAATTACTAACTTGTGTTCGTCGGCGTCGCCCTCTAATTCCCCAATTTTCTGTGCAATTGCTTGCATTTCGCTTTTCATGTTATTAAATTGTAAGGTTATTTCTATTTTTTTTGACCATTTAATTATTAGATAAAGATCACGTATATGTTACTGGGATATATTTCGTAAGTACCTTGGTCGGTAAGTTTTTTAGCTTTAGAAGACATTGTAAATTTTCTTTTAATCTGTCAATTTCAGACATGTATTTATATTAAAATCCACGTGATATGCAACGTATGGCGATCATCGCATTGCTAGAAAATCATTAGTTTTCACTTTTACTCTTAAATATATACGGTATATATAATGTGCTGAAACAATTAATGAAGTTTATTTTATAACCTGTTGTTAAATATAATAATGATATTTACAAAGTTACTATAACGCTAGTCTTTTAACCTTGCTTTTTTATATGTTCTTCTATCTTTATTATTTCCTTTTCCCATCTATCCCTTAATTCGTCTAGTTTTCTAGACATTTCCATATTCCCTCTTTCCTGATACCACTTCTCCATGATGATGGCCACCTCTATGCCTGTTAGTAGTCTTGAAATTTTTACTGAATTAGTGTATTCATCAAATTTTTCTTTCTCCAGTAACTCAGTAACATCTTTATTTATCCCAGATTCCTCTGCCCATTTTGATCCAAAATCTCCTTGAATAAGTTCACTATGTGAAATTGTATTAAGCTCCATTGAGCTTTTGTCCATAA